TTGATGTTGTAATGTTTATGCCCTTTGGGGCCCATAATTGGAAATAAAATATCTTATCTTATAACTTAATTTCCTGTGTTTGCTACTCTAGCTCTACGATTCCTCTCCACTACTTAATCGCAGAACAGGAGCTATTCACTCCTGGCACACTTATACAGTGCGTTATCAACAATTTATTTGTATAGTGTTCAAGATTGACCTCTGAAGAGAGAGGAGTATATTTGAAATGATAGTATCAGATAAATTTCTCTTGGCGTGAATTTACATGGATGCACACTATCCATGGATGATACAGTTATGTGCCGCGTACTCTATTGGCCGCTAATCAATTGAAAACTTTGAAAGAGACGAAAAAAGAAATGCATCGGCCGGGAATCGAACCCGGGCCGCCCGCGTGGCAGGCGAGCATTCTACCACTGAACCACCGATGCTTATAACTACTTAGTGTTTAACTTGATCATATATGGACACATGTTACCTGATATGTATGGTATATAGCATGTTAATCATACTGACGTTGTCGGCAGAAACGCGACACAAATATATTTGACAAGAGGAAATCGACGTTAATTTAGATCCCATCTGTTCAGCCGCAGTGTAATCGCAGCTCGTGGTTGAAATATAATGACCAGAAATATGCTACTGTCGGCTTCGTGTATAATTTGAAACTTACCGTGGTTAAAATCGTGATATGAAAAGGGGGAGGGATAATTAATCAAGTCTTTCAAAGGAGAATTAATAGCGAAATGAAAAATTCTGTAACGTGACATGATTTTCAGTTGTGGTTTCATATGGCAGACACATATTAGTCATTGATTCAACTGTATAGTCGACTCAGTATGGCACATATATATATGTTTGAATGCATTATAATGCTGAATAAATGCGCCTTTATATTGAACGGTTTCTGCTTCCGATATTTACAACCTGGTAAAATTGTGTGAGCTTTGAATACGCTCCTGTCAGGCTGTCAGCTGAATCATATTTATCATATGTTGACACAATCATAAATGTATTAGGCTCGGTAAGAACGCTTTAATATATAGCTTAATTTTAGCTTGTTATACTAAGTCCGATGTGGTCTAGTGGTTAGGATTTCTGGTTTTCACCCAGACGGCCCGGGTTTGGCTTCCGGTCAGTGTTTTGAAGTGTGTGCACGTCTTTTGAGAGTAGGATATTTTGATTCTGTTTTCAAGGTTAAGCTCGGAATTCCAAGCAGAGAAATGTGTACCATTATCGGACCTTGTTTGCAGTAAGTCAATTCTACTATTTTTAAGAGAAAAACTGTTTAAAATAACTATTTTGACAGCTATATTGTTTATCGCACCTGATCAGAGGTACCCTTGGGTTATTTTTTTTCATTCATGAAAATTGTGACTGTGCGTTATGGATAGATTACCTAAGTTTTTAATAAAGGCAATAGAATGTGCATGTGAGGAATATGGAATTATAACGTATAGTTTCCATGGTGATAATGACAAAACAAGAATTTCGATTATGTTTTCGAATACTGATACAAATAAGCAGGTAAAACGTAAATCTGGTTCGGCAAGAAGGAGAGACAATAAACGTTTGAAAGAATTTAATGACACTAAAAGTAACACAGAAGTTTTGAACGTCGATGATATTGAAGGTATTGATATTGATAATATGAACATTGATGCGTGTACCGTGGATGAATCCGAGGAACGTACAATGAATACAGACATTTCCCTTTTGGGAGCCTCTTCATTCACACACAGTATTCCAATTGAACATGTGGATGAGAATATAGAACGATGTACATTTAAAAAACAAGTTACAGTTGATATACCCGTAAAACAAGCTATTAATAGTGACAGGAATTTACCTGTAGGAGAGACAATAGAGTGTAACGAAAAACGTAAACAAATAGTGAAACGTAAACAAAGTAAAGAAAGTGAAATAAAACAACAAAGTAGTATTGTATGTGATAAAGATTCTTTAGAATCGAAAAATGAAGAATTCGAAAAGATTGTTTGTAAAAGAAGTCGTACAAGTGGTGATGTTTTGATCGGAAAGATAATTGATATGAACATTATAGTTACATGTAATGTAACTAGAAAATCTATTGAAGCGGTTGATAAGCGGGATGCAAGATATGAACATTATTTACGATTACTTTTTAAGGAGTTTGATGATATAACAGAGACGGATTTTTATACGGATCAAGCGAAGGAAGCAATTCAACTGATGATTAACTATGTGAAAAGTCATAAAATGTCGGCATTATGATAAAGTTATTTATAAGTCTTTTGTGTGATAGGTTTGCGTGAAGTTTTGTATAATTCTGTGAGTGATTTAATTCATATATATTGTTTTGTGGTATATACTTAATTGCAAGCTATTATTTTTGTTGTTTATTTATGAAACACTTTGACTTCGTTGAATGCGTTTTCAGGAATGGAATCCGTCCGTAAACGCTACAAATGAACATTGTTGAATTTTTGAATAGACAGTAAAAATAAATGTTGAATACTAGGTATCTATATACGGTGCTATAAATATAATGAAGTAAATATAGGATGTGTATGATGGGTATTGGTTGTAAGATGAAAGAATGCTGCAGAATGGTAGTATAGGGACTCCATGTTTTCTGTGATAATATGTAAAACTTGTTGTAAATAGTATTGAGGTTTAATAAATATAAAGATAAAAAAAAAAAAAAAAGGATTTCTGGTTTTCACCCAGACGGCCCGGGTTCGATTCCCGGCGTCGGAGCTTTAATTTTTTTGTGATCGGGTGAAACATGTAACATTTCATGAAAAAGATGAAAAAAGGATTCACAGAATCATCTAAGCGAAATAAATTGCAATTAATTCTCGCAGCATATATTATCATGCAGTTTGCATCTTCCGCAGTGATGTGCCTTCAAGTGTCAATGAAACCGAGACCGGAATGAGATGGGTGACCATCACACATACATAAGAATGTTCTTTCGCAAATAATGATTTTCTGTTTTAAAGTCATGTTGATGTTTATGCATTTCTTGTCATTTAGTCTGTTGTTATGACATCATCCCCTCGGGGTATAAGTTAGATACAATAACTTAATTTCCTGTGTTTGCTACTCTAGCTCTACGATTCCTCTCCACTACTTAATCGCAGAACAGGAGCTATTCACTCCTGGCACACTTATACAGTGCGTTATCAACAATTTATTTGTATAGTGTTCAAGATTGACCTCTGAAGAGAGAGGAGTATATTTGAAATGATAGTATCAGATAAATTTCTCTTGGCGTGAATTTACATGGATGCACACTATCCATGGATGATACAGTTATGTGCCGCGTACTCTATTGGCCGCTAATCAATTGAAAACTTTGAAAGAGACGAAAAAAGAAATGCATCGGCCGGGAATCGAACCCGGGCCGCCCGCGTGGCAGGCGAGCATTCTACCACTGAACCACCGATGCTTATAACTACTTAGTGTTTAACTTGATCATATATGGACACATGTTACCTGATATGTATGGTATATAGCATGTTAATCATACTGACGTTGTCTGCAGAAACGCGACACAAATATATTTGACAAGAGGAAATCGACGTTAATTGAGATCCCATCTGTTCAGCCGCAGTGTAATCGCAGCTCGTGGTTGAAATATAATGACCAGAAATATGCTACTGTCGGCTTCGTGTATAATTTGAAACTTACCGTCTTTAAAATCGTGATATGAAAAGGGGGAGGGATAATTAATCAAGTCTTTCAAAGGAGAATTAATAGCGAAATGAAAAATTCTGTAACGTGACATGATTTTCAGTTGTGGTTTCATATGGCAGACACATATAAGTCATTGATTCAACTGTATAGTCGACTCAGTATGGCACATATATATATGTTTGAATGCATTATTATGCTGAACCCAGCAAACACAAAAACATCTTTAAAATGTTTTTAAAATGTTGTGTCTAATGTCATGAAAATATCACAAAAAAACGTGAGAAAAACATTAAATGTATGGTAGAATATATATCGCTAAAACGTTTTCTAATATATTTTCTAAAATATTTGCATAATATAATTAAAATGTTGTAAAGAAATATCATGATAATGTGAAAAACAATGGCGTGTTAAACATTTTGATAATCTTTTAAAAAATATTTTCTAGAAATATTTTCTGAACGTTTGAAAAACATCATGAACATCAAATAATGTTATAAAAATGTTTTTTGGATGTTTTCTTGCAAGTGAGACTGTGCCTAAAAAATGTTTTCAAAATGTTTTAAGAAGATGTTTTTGGTTGATATCAAGATCATATCAATATAAAAATTTCTGTACTTTTGATTGAATAAATCAGTTGTTTTGCTAAGCATATGAAATTCACAATTCAAAGTCTCTAAAAACAAGAAGTATCTACAAATTTTGACACATCCAAAATGGCAGACACAACTCATCATGGTCAAGCCACTTACCAAATATGAAGTCATTCTGTTCATAAGCATTACTAATTAAAGTAATGAAAAATGTGAGAACATTCAACATTTTGAAATACAATGTATAAGCAAACAGGAAACAGGTGCCAGATACAAAAATGTTCACACATCACGGTTCATCACTTTCAAGCAGCTCATTAAATATGAACTCATCTTTATCAGCAGTTTTGGGAAAAACAGTGATGAAAATATTTGTCGGACAAAATCTGACAAATATAGGTGAACAGACGACAGACAGTGCAAGAAAGCCCATTATTCCAACCACAATGGTATAATGTTTAGTTTTTCACTCTCAACTTTTATTACCTATCTTATACACATCATGCATATGTCAACCTGAACATGCATGACATATATGCCATTGGACATTATGCAAACATTATACACATTTTTAAGTTCAAGTTACATTGACTAAAACTTGTGTCCCAAATTCAGATTTTTCAATACAACTTCTCTTTCTAAACTAAAACACTACACTTCTAATAGGGTTACATCTTAAGTCAATAATCATTGATAATTGGCTAAAGAGATGAGAACAAAACACCATTTTACATCAACTATTTGATTTATTTAAGAATACATTGAAAAAGTCAATCAATTGTCTTATTCAAAATCACTTGGAATGTCTTGTAGTGTCTTATATCTTTTTCTTGCTGTGCCATGCTTCTGAAAAAAAAATTTAATCTTACATTCATATATAATTTCTTGCACATTCCTTTATTATAGAACGATTCACGTTGCCTGAAGGATATACATCCCCTCCCCTTTAAAGTATTGAAACAAATAACGATGATAGTCTGTCGGAAGGGGACGATAAATGGCTGACTGTGTTAAGAGAGAGCAATATGCCACGCTGAACTTCATTTAGTTATTAAAAAAAAACACATAAAAAACTTTAGACTAGATATGTGTCCGGTCAAGAGTCTTATTTCATTATACTCGTTGATTGTTGTCTATCATAATTTTTTTCTTTTATTGTTTTGTATAAATCAGGCTGTTGTTTTTCTTGTTTTTTTTAGTTTTCATTAAATGCATTGTATATAATGTAGGGGCCTTTACAAGCCCTGCTACATAATGTCATTAAACATCTTATTGTCCTTTTTGCATGTTTTGAGTGATAAACTCTGTAGAGTGACATAGTTTATAACTTGTCATTTGTATCTAAGGGCATATGATACAGTCCTAGAAGTATACTATAGGCACATAATAACTTATTGAAGTGTTACGCATTGTTTTCGCAATGATGATAATAATATAACTTAACTTTCGAGAAACACACAGATGTCATTAAATGAGTTGTTTATATGTATTTGAAATACTTCAAAGGAAAGCAAATATGTTGTTTATGAAAGCACACTGTTGGACTAAAAGATTGATTTAAATAAACAACTTGTTTCTATTTTGTCACAAAAAAAATAATTTATTCAAATATCCAGATATCTTTTCTGTATTGTATGCCCTTAATCTTGAATGTAATGCATTGTTTATGCTAAATATTTGAATTAAATATGGAATAACAGTAATTCTGTATAAAAATCTTACTTCAAAAAAAAATTCTACTGAAAGGTTGTAGACATTCCAAAGAACCTGCGCCACTTCCAAATTGTAAACCTGCATATTGAACTTGTCCTTTGTGGCTTTTCTTTTAGCTCCTGTTAAAAAATAAAAGATACATTGTATGTACATTGTGTGTATGAAGCAATAAATATAATTTTAAGCAACAGTTTATATTATCTTGCTTGTACTGAAGTCTTACATAGTCTTTTTAATGTTCATTAAGCTGTTAAGGGAAATTTAATTTACTGTTTTGCAAATACATACATACACTGATTTTACTAGAAAAAAAAATCTCCATATTCAAATGGTGCTTATATTAGTGTTATTGTAACTTGTTTGTGTGCCTCGGAAACAAGGTATTGAGTCATGCTTATTGCAATAGTTGTTGTTGGTTTAAGTCTGTCAAATTTCTTTTTCATAATGTGTATTTAATGTAGGCAGTTAGTTGTTTTGTTTCAATTGTGTTGAGAAAAATTTAACATTTGTTTTTCAAGGCTTCAAAGTGGACTATATGGCATTGGTTTTCTCAGTTTTGAAAGCCGTACAGTGACCTATAATTTCTTTTATCCAAGTCATTTAAATTCTGGTGGATAACTGTCTCATACACCTTATCGCTATTTCAGTATTTGGAAATCTGTCCCGCTTGAACTTTTGACGTCAGCATACGTCATACAATAATACACCTTATCGCTATTCCTGCTTGACCCGAGAATCTATCCTGCTTGAACTTTTGACGTCAAACAACAATCACTTTTCCATTGTGGCATCAGATATTTTTTATGATGATGTCAAAATTTTAAGGGAACATGTGACAGTTGTGTGATGTCCAGTAATGGTGGACAAATAGCGATAAGGTGTATTACTTTCAATTGTGGTGTCAAATATTTTCTAATATGACGTCAACATTTTACGGGAACTTTTATGATGTCCATGGCAAGTAATGGCGGACAAATAGCGATAAGGTGTATTGGCAATCAAACTGTGACAAACACACAAGCCACATATCTTTATAATTTTTTTATATCAATGAACAAATTCATAATTGGTGTACGTAGATGCTTGATGGAGCTACTTATAAGATAAATGTATAGACTATTTACAAGTATCACTCCAAACGTTTGCTTGCCTTGGGCAGGGGCCCCCCTTTTTTCAAAACCTTGATCCGCACCTCCAGAAACAGATGTAATTTGGTTCCGATTATGATTGAACACACACAATGAATGCACAAGTTTCATCTTAACAGATTAATCATTCTTACCAAGTGAGTATATATCGCGTAACAAACAATTTTCTTGGCTCTCTTTGTTGATATCCTGTCTTCCGTTTCGAAATTCAAATTTCAAAATCATTTCCGGTGATAAAACAAAAGTCGATTCCGGAAAAGGTCGGTTTTCCGTAAATCATATAAACGATACGAAAATTGAACTTAGTACAGTTACAGTTTTCATTTCTTAATTTCTAAAATATACACGAACGAAATGAATAAACATTAAAGAAAGGTGATTGTTTATTAATACATTATTGCTTAATTTAATGTTGACTCTTTTGAATTTTAATATAAGAAGGAATAAAATCTGACTTCAAGGATCTTCAACTGAGATATCAATTAAGGATTTCAACCATAGTGTCTTGCTTGTCATGATATTGATGAAATGTAGTACTATATCTTATCCTGAAAAAAAACGAGCTAATTCCACATAACGTTGTTTGTGGGGTTTTGAATAAAGTTTAAATAAAATGTTATTTTTATATCCGTAAAATGTTGAATAAAATATCAGTAAGATTATTAAGTAATGTGTATGTCAGAATATTTTATAGAAAACATTTAGCCGATATTTTTCAGATATTTTATGTAAAACATTTTAATTTTACGTTATAAAACATTTTATGCAAATAGCAAAACTATATTTTCTGTAAAACATTTTTTTGCAGAATGTTTTTTGGATATTTGGAAAATATTTACTTTAAATGTTGTTAAAATATAAAATACCAATTGATGAAAATATTATTTTTTTATATTATAAAATATCTACGGGATATTTTAGAACAATGTTTGAGAACATGAATAAAAGATATTAGCAAATAATATTTTGTTAATGTTGTAAAAACATTTTACTTAAATGTTAGAAATAAAACATTTCAAAAACAATAAAATAAACATTTTTTTTATGTTTAAATGATATCTTATTGAAATATTTTGTGAGAGACGTCCATATGACATTTAAAAAATGTTTTTAAAATGTTGTGTGTTTGCTGGGAATAAATGCGCCTTTATATTGAACGGTTTCTGCTTCCGATATTTACAACCTGGTAAAATTGTGTGAGCTTTGAATACGCTCCTGTCAGGCTGTCAGCTGAATCATATTTATCATATGTTGACACAATCATAAATGTATTAGGCTCGGTAAGAACGCTTTAATATATAGCTTAATTTTAGCTTGTTATACTAAGTCCGATGTGGTCTAGTGGTTAGGATTTCTGGTTTTCACCCAGACGGCCCGGGTTCGATTCCCGGCGTCGGAGCTTTAATTTTTTTGTGATCGGGTGAAACATGTAACATTTCATGAAAAAGATGAAAAAAGGATTCACAGAATCATCTAAGCGAAATAAATTGCAATTAATTCTCGCAGCATATATTATCATGCAGTTTGCATCTTCCGCAGTGATGTGCCTTCAAGTGTCAATGAAACCGAGACCGGAATGAGATGGGTGACCATCACACCTACATAAGAATGTTCTTTCGCAAATAATGATTTTCTGTTTTAAAGTCATGTTGATGTTTATGCATTTCTTGTCATTTAGTCTGTTGTTATGACATCATCCCCTCGGGGTATAAGTTAGATACAATAACTTAATTTCCTGTGTTTGCTACTCTAGCTCTACGATTCCTCTCCACTACTTAATCGCAGAACAGGAGCTATTCACTCCTGGCACACTTATACAGTGCGTTATCAACAATTTATTTGTATAGTGTTCAAGATTGACCTCTGAAGAGAGAGGAGTATATTTGAAATGATAGTATCAGATAAATTTCTCTTGGCGTGAATTTACATGGATGCACACTATCCATGGATGATACAGTTATGTGCCGCGTACTCTATTGGCCGCTAATCAATTGAAAACTTTGAAAGAGACGAAAAAAGAAATGCATCGGCCGGGAATCGAACCATGGCTGCCCGCGTGGCAGGCGAGCATTCTACCACTGAACCACCGATGCTTATAACTACTTAGTGTTTAACTTGATCATATATGGACACATGTTACCTGATATGTATGGTATATAGCATGTTAATCATACTGACGTTGTCGGCAGAAACGCGACACAAATATATTTGACCAGAGGAAATCGACGTTAATTTAGATCCCATCTGTTCAGCCGCAGTGTAATCGCAGCTCGTGGTTGAAATATAATGACCAGAAATATGCTACTGTCGGCTTCGTGTATAATTTGAAACTTACCGTCTTTAAAATCGTGATATGAAAAGGGGGAGGGATAATTAATCAAGTCTTTCAAAGGAGAATTAATAGCGAAATGAAAAATTCTGTAACGTGACATGATTTTCAGTTGTGGTTTCATATGGCAGACACATATTAGTCATTGATTCAACTGTATAGTCGACTCAGTATGGCACATATATATATGTTTGAATGCATTATTATGCTGAATAAATGCGCCTTTATATTGAACGGTTTCTGCTTCCGATATTTACAACCTGGTAAAATTGTGTGAGCTTTGAATACGCTCCTGTCAGGCTGTCAGCTGAATCATATTTATCATATGTTGACACAATCATAAATGTATTAGGCTCGGTAAGAACGCTTTAATATATAGCTTAATTTTAGCTTGTTATACTAAGTCCGATGTGGTCTAGTGGTTAGGATTTCTGGTTTTCACCCAGACGGCCCGGGTTCGATTCCCGGCGTCGGAGCTTTAATTTTTTTGTGATCGGGTGAAACATGTAACATTTCATGAAAAAGATGAAAAAAGGATTCACAGAATCATCTAAGCGAAATAAATTGCAATTAATTCTCGCAGCATATATTATCATGCAGTTTGCATCTTCCGCAGTGATGTGCCTTCAAGTGTCAATGAAACCGAGACCGGAATGAGATGGGTGACCATCACACCTACATAAGAATGTTCTTTCGCAAATAATGATTTTCTGTTTTAAAGTCATGTTGATGTTTATGCATTTCTTGTCATTTAGTCTGTTGTTATGACATCATCCCCTCGGGGTATAAGTTAGATACAATAACTTAATTTCCTGTGTTTGCTACTCTAGCTCTACGATTCCTCTCCACTACTTAATCGCAGAACAGGAGCTATTCACTCCTGGCACACTTATACAGTGCGTTATCAACAATTTATTTGTATAGTGTTCAAGATTGACCTCTGAAGAGAGAGGAGTATATTTGAAATGATAGTATCAGATAAATTTCTCTTGGCGTGAATTTACATGGATGCACACTATCCATGGATGATACAGTTATGTGCCGCGTACTCTATTGGCCGCTAATCAATTGAAAACTTTGAAAGAGACGAAAAAAGAAATGCATCGGCCGGGAATCGAACCATGGCTGCCCGCGTGGCAGGCGAGCATTCTACCACTGAACCACCGATGCTTATAACTACTTAGTGTTTAACTTGATCATATATGGACACATGTTACCTGATATGTATGGTATATAGCATGTTAATCATACTGACGTTGTCGGCAGAAACGCGACACAAATATATTTGACCAGAGGAAATCGACGTTAATTTAGATCCCATCTGTTCAGCCGCAGTGTAATCGCAGCTCGTGGTTGAAATATAATGACCAGAAATATGCTACTGTCGGCTTCGTGTATAATTTGAAACTTACCGTCTTTAAAATCGTGATATGAAAAGGGGGAGGGATAATTAATCAAGTCTTTCAAAGGAGAATTAATAGCGAAATGAAAAATTCTGTAACGTGACATGATTTTCAGTTGTGGTTTCATATGGCAGACACATATTAGTCATTGATTCAACTGTATAGTCGACTCAGTATGGCACATATATATATGTTTGAATGCATTATTATGCTGAATAAATGCGCCTTTATATTGAACGGTTTCTGCTTCCGATATTTACAACCTGGTAAAATTGTGTGAGCTTTGAATACGCTCCTGTCAGGCTGTCAGCTGAATCATATTTATCATATGTTGACACAATCATAAATGTATTAGGCTCGGTAAGAACGCTTTAATATATAGCTTAATTTTAGCTTGTTATACTACGTCCGATGTGGTCTAGTGGTTAGGATTTCTGGTTTTCACCCAGACGGCCCGGGTTCGATTCCCGGCGTCGGAGCTTTAATTTTTTTTGTGATCGGGTGAAACATGTAACATTTCATGAAAAAGATGAAAAAAGGATTCACAGAATCATCTAAGCGAAATAAATTGCAATTAATTCTCGCAGCATATATTATCATGCAGTTTGCATCTTCCGCAGTGATGTGCCTTCAAGTGTCAATGAAACCGAGACCGGAATGAGATGGGTGACCATCACACCTACATAAGAATGTTCTTTCGCAAATAATGATTTTCTGTTTTAAAGTCATGTTGATGTTTATGCATTTCTTGTCATTTAGTCTGTTGTTATGACATCATCCCCTCGGGGTATAAGTTAGATACAATAACTTAATTTCCTGTGTTTGCTACTCTAGCTCTACGATTCCTCTCCACTACTTAATCGCAGAACAGGAGCTATTCACTCCTGGCACACTTATACAGTGCGTTATCAACAATTTATTTGTATAGTGTTCAAGATTGACCTCTGAAGAGAGAGGAGTATATTTGAAATGATAGTATCAGATAAATTTCTCTTGGCGTGAATTTACATGGATGCACACTATCCATGGATGATACAGTTATGTGCCGCGTACTCTATTGGCCGCTAATCAATTGAAAACTTTGAAAGAGACGAAAAAAGAAATGCATCGGCTGGGAATCGAACCCGGGCCGCCCGCGTGGCAGGCGAGCATTCTACCACTGAACCACCGATGCTTATAACTACTTAGTGTTTAACTTGATCATATATGGACACATGTTACCTGATATGTATGGTATATAGCATGTTAATCATACTGACGTTGTCGGCAGAAACGCGACACAAATATATTTGACCAGAGGAAATCGACGTTAATTTAGATCCCATCTGTTCAGCCGCAGTGTAATCGCAGCTCGTGGTTGAAATATAATGACCAGAAATATGCTACTGTCGGCTTCGTGTATAATTTGAAACTTACCGTCTTTAAAATCGTGATATGAAAAGGGGGAGGGATAATTAATCAAG